AAAATAAAGGCCCATAATTTGTGACTCAAAGACCTTGAAACTGCATCTGTAATAGTCTTCAACACCAGGCATTTTCTGAATGTTTGCAGATGATGCATTTCTTGGAAATAGTAAGATGACTTGGGAGATACTGTTTATGTCTGCAGTGACTCCTCGAGGGGACCATTTTCCCCAAAGAACTTCCAGGTGTAGCTGACTCTTCTGCCTTTTGTTTCCTCATTGGTTCCACTTACTGTTTTTCTTCAGAATAGATGTCAATGTCCCGTCTTGTCTATGACTGAGGTGAACAAAGTCCGGCTGGAGGAACTTGGCTGTCATCGGGTATTGGCCCAGGGGCTCATACTTAGAGCAGTGACTGAGTAATCTAGTGGTCTAAAACTCTACCAGATGAAGTCCAATTCCTAGTCCTGACTGGTACCCAGTGATTTTTAAAGCCATTTTTATGTAGAATTATGAAAGCACCTGATATTGAGTGCAGTAGCTCATGCCTATAATCCCTGCACTCAATGAGGCTGAGGCAGGAGGACCGTGAGTTTGAGCAAGCCTGGGCTACATAGTAATCAGACTCTGGCTCAAAAATTGACAAAGAAACAGGCAAGAACCAAACCAAAGCAAATAAGAAGACTTGGTACTTGTAAAGTAACATAAAGGGATATTTTAAAAAATCTCACAAATCAAGTGTAGATGCTCTCTATGCAGCTGTGTAGAGAAGGGATTATTCAGGTGGGTTGCTTGGGGCAGACCTAGTCCTAGACTGGAATCTGAAGAATGTACAAGATTCTGGAAGTGACTACTGGAGATCAGTGCTCTAGGCAGAGTGAGAGTGTGGGATCTGTTCAGAACAGGAAAAGGGATCTCCACGTACGGAGGATCTGTGTGCCTGACTGGACATGTGCACATGCAGACCCCAGTCATTTTCTCCTTCTATGCTCTAGAGTTAGAAAGCTTAGATTATAGCATTAGAAGTATACTGTGTGCTGGTGACTATGCCAGGATCATTGAACTATCCCTAATACTGTGGAGCAGGAACTGTTCCTAGAGGGCCTATGGCAATTTTTGTTTTGTCTTTCTTATATCTACACTGCAGGATTTGGTGGCCCCAACTTAAAGGCTGGGATGACACTGCTAATTGTAATCAATTAAGCCTGCCCCGAATGTTGCAGCAATTTTTTTACTCCCCCTAAAGTGGTTTTCTCTTTTCATCCAGCCCTCTTCTAGGAGAGTCATCTCTTAACAGCTCTGCTTAGGTACTGCTATGTCCTCACTCAGAAATTTGCAAAATAAGCCCCCTCCCTGCTGCTTTTTTTGAGCATCTGTTATATGGCAACCCCTGTGCACTGAAAACCTCATTAGTAATGCAGATGGGCATAGTTATTATCCCCTCTTCATAGGCAGGAAAACTGGTATGTCGAGAAACTAAACAACTGGCCCCAAATCTCAAAGTTTGTACAAACTAGCCTCTAACTTGCTGCTAATTTCCAACCTACACTGGGGTGACTGAGGCAAGGGTTCAAAATCATCTGCAGTGTGTGTGTTTTTCTCCAGTTTTTCCTCAGGACAAAACTTTGCGCTAAAGGCTTTGCATGGACTACGTACGTTTTTCCTTTAAGGCAAGTCTTTTTTTTTTTAAATCCCATTTTACAGATGAGCAGATTGAGGAATGGCAAAATTAAGTAACTTGCTAGAGTCATGTGATCAGAAGCCAGTGGAAGCCAGGAATGTTCAGCAGCAGTTTCCTTGGAAGCCCGAAACTCATTCACAGTTGCTGTGGTGTGCTGCTTCCCAGTTTGATTTCTTTAATTAACATTTGACTACTATTCTAAGTAATATTTTTGTCATTTTTTAATCATGGAAGGAGACTGTTCCAAAGAATGGTTTCCAAAGTGGATTAATGCATTAGACAGGCAACCGTGCTTGGAGGGAAGGTATATTGAAGAGAGCCTTCTGCTCAGGTAGACAGTTGAGTCTACACTGTGACCTCTAGACAGCACAGAGAAGGAAAAGCATGCCCTGCCTCCCTTGCCTGAGGGAACAGTGTGTACCCTCTGTTCCCTTGAAGATGTAGAAACCAGCCTGGAGCAGATGCTCTGTGTGGAGGTTTTCAGTGATGTGAAGCACCTGGGTGTCTAGTTCCAGCCCAAACAAGACTCCTTCTGGCTCATTGAGGAGGGGAGGGAGTTCACCCAAATGGCGATAACTATCTTCAGTCTATTACTTCCTGCACACATCCCGCTTAAGGAAAATTGAATATGATTTATTTTTTACCTACTGGATAACCTTTTGCGTATTTTGTGTTTTTGAAATAGACTCTCATTATGTAACCCAGCCAGCTTTGGACTCTTGATATTTCTTCTTCTTGTTGGGGGTCACAGGCATGTGCTACCATACCTGGCTTTTGTGTGTGTATGTGTGTTTGTACATGTATATGTGTGTCATGCACATGTGTGTTCAGGGTGCGAGCGTCTGCTCACATGTGAGCACGTACTTGTAGGCCACAGTTAGACACGGAGTGTCTTCTTTCATCACTCACCGTATTTTCTGAGTCTCTCATTGAGTCTGCAGCTCACTGGCTGGCTAAACTGGCTGGCCAGTAAGTTCAGGGATTGGCCTGTCTTTTATGTCCTATCGCTGGGTTATAGGCGCACACCACCAAGCCCAGCCTTTCCGTGAGTGCTGAAAATCTAAATTCAGGTTCTGATGCTTGCACAGCAGGCTCTTTCCTGACGGAGTCATCCCCACTTCGTTGTGACCAAGTCTTACCATATGGCTAACGCTAGCCTCGAACTCACTGTGTTGCCCAGGATGACTTTGAATTTACTGGGATTATAGGCATTTAACTACTGTGTCTGGCAAGTATAATTTACATACAAAGGAAGTTTTCATATTAAGAGGCTGGTTTGATGAATTTTGACTAATTTTATACTTATGCAGTCACTAGTCCAAACAAGCAAACCCTTCCCAGTGAATTCTCTTGCCTGCCCGTCTCAGTCTCACGTCTGTTCCCATAGATTAGTCTTGCTTCTCTTGGATTTGATATAAATGAAGTCACACTGCTATATTTGGTTGTGTCTGCCTGCACCGTGGAATGTTCCTTAAAAATAAAAAGGAATGAACTTCTGACACACGAGGCAGGATATATGTCCTAGAGACTCGTCCCTGGAAGTTTGCAGGGTTCATTTTCTTCAGATTACCTTCATAGTCACAGTAATTCAAATACCTGACAGATCCTTCTCTGTGCCAACCGGGGACCACAACCATCCACACCCGTTTTCTCCTGTATCTCCTCACAATGAAAAGAAACGCACCTTTAGGAGATGGTCAGTTTAGATTTGTCTTGTGGGTGATCATGATAATGATTTTTTTAGAGGAGGTGAAAATTGTACAATGCTTTTTCTTACAAAGTTCAGGCATTTTATGTGTTCTCTTTTTAATATGGCTAAGGCCAGAGAAGGAGGCAGGAGGCAGATCTGCCCTCTCCAGGGTGGCTGTCCAGCAGGCCTTGGATGCTCATTTACTTCTCCTCTGAGCTGCGTGCTGTGCAGTTTTCATTGTCATGAGAGGAAATGTGAGGGAAACTATCCCCCCCCCCCACAAAAAAAAAAACACCCAGCTTTTCTTGGCAGGGGAAAGCTGACTTACGGAGCCAGAACTGCAGACATACGGCACCGTGAATGAGAGTTGCGCTGCCTTGCTGGGGCCGCGTCCAGGCACTATTTATACTGTAGCATATTCAGCAGCAGATTGTTAAGTCTTAATACTGAAACAGTGCATCATTTTAATATTTTTGTTCTGTTTCTTCCCTGTTTTCAAGCATTATGTCAGGCATTGCACGTTCATTTATTTCGTCTTGGACAGGACGTGCCCTCACCAGAAAGGTCATTTCCTGCCCTTAGAGATTTGCTTCCCAGACGCAGAGTCATTTTGGGAATCTCTGAAAAGTACCTTTGGGTGTACAGGTGTTCTCTTTCTTCAGTGATAAAAATATATGTATTTGAAAAGAACAATGTAGTTAGACTCACCTGTACTGCCAAAAGGAAAAATAAAAATGCTGTTTTCCTTTTATCTCTAAAACATAACATTTTTATATGTGACAATTTCTGTCACCCTGTGGGGACCATCAGAGTTTTCATAGTATGGAAATAAAATTTTTGTTACCCAGCGTTATTTGTGAAATGAGTTTCTTTTCCTTCATCAAATTTCTGTGTGCCCTGCACTCCAGACCAGAGAGGCCCATTCAGCGGGGTACGTTAACATTGCCTGGGCAGCCCATGAGTCTTCTGGCTGCAGTGGGGTTGCTTCCATAGTTACTGCTCTTTGTGGCCCGAGCTAGCCCTGGAGCTTTGTTCTGTTCATCATCTAGGTTTACCACAGACAGCAGGAAGCCCACAGGGGAAAGGTACTATTGTCATTCTAAAAAGAACCCAGGAATAAAAACCAAGAGGCAGATGAGGGCATCTTTGCGATTCTGAGCTATGGCACTTGGATCGTAAGGCAAGGTGAGCACTCCTTCGGGGGCTGCAAGTGCTGTGCGTTCTGGGAGTCACTCCACATTCAGAATGTGACTGACTGAGTGTGACGCCTTCACAGCAGTTTTCTTGTTCAATTCAAAACCATGTCTTATATTTAGGTGAAGCCTTCTTTTTTTTGTCTATGAAATCAGCAGTCCCGTATATTTAGCATCAGTCCTAAGTTAGACTGTGAAACAAGACTTTGGAGAAAGGAAATATCCGTATGGTTTTCTAAGTAATTTAAGGAGCAGAAAAACAAAAAAGAACCAGTTGTCTATAACTAAACCCCATCCTTCCCATCCCTTATCTCCCTTGTGTTGTTCACTAACTCAGTTGTCAGCCAGAAAAGAATGCCTCATTGCGCTGGGCTGTAAATTCTCAGAGTGAGCGTCCTGTGTTGACTCTTGAACGGCCTTCTTGGCATTGAGCAAACTGTGGAAGGGTTTAATAAATAGCAGATAGATGTTTACTATGTTTTTCTTCCCTGTGCAGGAATAATCAAGCTGGGGAGGTGGAACCCTCTCCCCCTTAGCTATGTGACAGACGCCCCTGACGCGACAGTGGCCGACATGCTGCAAGATGTCTATCACGTTGTGACGTTGAAGATCCAATTACAAAGGTGGGTATTTCTGACCGTCTGTCTGCTTCCTCTCAGAGCTGCTGTGTGGATCTTGGATTCACTGGAGAGATCAGCTTGGCTCCATTCATTTCTAGACAGTGGGCGAAATGAGAGAGGGGAGGGGGGCAGGGGATGCTTCACTAGGCATCTTTATAGTCCACATTCCAACTGGCTTATGCTGTTTTCAGAGGCAGTGAACTGGTCACCCAGGGGCTGCTTGATAAATCATTAAAAGTCTTCAGGGCAGGTGAAGGAGGGCTCTGCACAGCCCCTCTCCCCGTGGCTTCTCTCGGCTTCCTCAGAAGCCAGCCACAGAGCATCTGAGGCATCAAATCCCTCCGCTGCCTAGAGTTTTCTTCTTCCACAGCATTAGAGCTTTCTTTCTCTCTACGGTGGCCACTCCGGGAAAGGCAGCCTGTGATCTGTAGGGGGATCGGAATGCCGCACACTCCACAACATCTAGTGGTTCTCTATACCCTTTCATTGTAAAGTGCCTGCAAATTATGTCTTAAGTGCTGGTGTCCTTCAGTGTAAGATGTTTTTGTTTTGTTTCGTGGGATTTTTAAGACATTTTCTCCTTTAGGAGAAATTTCACTTTAACAGGGACCCACCACTCCTGTTCTTTCCCAGGATTCTTCAGGGTCTTTCCTAAGTTAGTATTTGACTCGGAAAGTAGCCGCTCTGCTTTTTTTCTGGGAAAGGCGAGCCTTCGCCCTTGGGCTTTGATGGAAGTGTTCTGACATTTAACCTTAGGAAGACCCATTGTGCATCTGTGCTGGGAAAGACCATCTCCACAGTGCTATGTCATGTCGCCAGTGCTTCAGAAGAGCAGAACTTCTGCACACTCATCAGCACAGGGACAGTTTTTCCTGGCTGTTAGGATTGGGGTCCACCCCTGCTGGGGTCTGTTGAGGTCTGTAGAAGGAGCTTGCTCCTTCTCCCTCGCTTGCGGACTTCCCCGATGTCCTACTGTGATGCTGGCATGGGACCCAAGAGCCACACAGAACTTGTGTCCCCTGCAGCCAGGGTCACGGTTGAGAGTCACGTGTCACTCATTTTCACTCTGTTCTGCAGTTGTTCGAAGTTGGAAGACTTGCCTGCGGAGCAGTGGAACCATGCCACGGTCCGCAATGCCTTAAAGGAACTGCTCAAAGAGATGAACCAGAGCACATTAGCCAAAGAATGCCCTCTCTCCCAGGTCAGTGTCTCCAGGCGGCATCTTCGCTGTGTTGTTTCTGCAGTCACACTGCACTGGAGCGGGTGGGGGCCTGGAGAGTATGCAAGCCATCACTTCAGGGAGAGAATTCTAATGGCAATGTATGAAAACACTTGCCAAGTATAATCACCAACTTTCCCATTGTGTAGCTGGGACAAAGACAAAGATGCCCTTCGACAGAGTTCAGGCAGAGAGGTTTTTTTATTAGGGGAAAAGGATCATAAAAAGGGGGAAGGGGAGGGGGGAGACTGGTCTCTGGGGACAGGAACAGTGGAAAAGAAAGAGAGGCAGAGAGACAGAGAGAGAGAGAGAGAGAGACAGACAGACAGACAGACAGACACAGAGCCACAGAGACAGAGACAGAGACACAGAGACAGAAACGGAGAGGGAGAGAAGGATGGAAGCTAGACAGAGCCCTTTCAAAAGGGAATGCAATGAACGTGCACAGGTAGTGCTCTCGGTGGCTGAAGCTGAGGGCATATCCTGTCAGAATCCCAAGGACAGGCTAGTACAGATAGCCTCAATACTAACAATGATGACATAGCGAATCTCTAAAGTTTCATGTTGAACCCTTGTCTGCTGGTTAAGTGACAGGTTGAGACCTTACAGCAGACCTCTGGTTCCAAGTCGACATTCCCAGTGGTTGCCTTACTTCATTTGCAGGATGGGGTGGTATGCTCAGCCTTTACATCTTGGTTTGATTAGGTGATCCTTGGCCCTGTTTAGTAGTTAGGGGTTGATCTTCATGGTAGAGATTTTTTGTTTTTGTTTTTATATAAAGTGACCATGGAAAAATGCATCATTAGAAACAATGACAATCCACCTTTTGAGTGATCACACACTAAAAGAAACCATGAAAATAAGAAACGGAAGTGCTCCAAGGAACCATAAGCTAAGTCATGTTTGGTTTTCCTGCTGGAGCTCGGCAGTTATAAAAAGGCTCCAGTGGATAGTATATGTTTTCTTGAACATCCCAGTGGCCTATAATTTACAAGAGAAACCTTGAAGGCAAAGGAGAGGCGTGGGGAAGTCCATAAAAAGGCAACAATTGCAGCCTGTGTACGTGAGGGGAAGTCTGATTTAGCTGTTCTGTCTGGCCAGATGCTAGCTAGGGAAGCGTAGGTTGTCATTGTGTGTCTATGTATTTTTTTTTATTTCACCTTTCACAGCATGCTAAAGTTGGAATAGCCTCTTTCTTGTCCCCTGATGTCTTTGTGAGTTGCCAAATCTAGTCGTCCAGGTGTTCCTTATGAAGCTGCTTGAATGTTACACACACAGCTTCTGGTGTCTTATTTACTCTTAGCTTTTGACTACAAAACCTCAGGTCTTGAGAGTTTGTTCATTTAGATTAGCAGAGCTGCACACTCTTTGCTCATCATGGGTTCTTCTGATGGCCAACAGGGCTGACAGTATGGGCAGCCTTCTTAACCGAAAACCTCAAGGGAAGACACATAGTTTTCAAAGCCTTCCACTGTTCTCCATGTCTTGACAGAAGTTTAGTTCTTTTTTGTGGTAAAATATCTGAAAGAAGGCTAGCCTTTTAACTTTTTGAAGTCTGTAGGTGAATAGTATTGAGTCCAGTCTCAATACTGTGTGACCATCACCCATCTGTTTGCAACTTTTGTCACTCCAGACAGTGTCTGTAACCTCTGAGTAATAGTTCCCCAATCTTCTCTCTCATTGGGTACTGGTGACTTCTCTCTTCCATCTGTAAATTTGTGTAGTCTTCATTCTCATACATACAAGTGGAGCTTGGAAAAGATAGTAGAAGGCCACCAAGTGACCCCAGATGAATTTTATAGGACAAGGGAATGGCTCCAAAATAGTCTTTTCCTTTTGCTGCTTTCAGATTATTATTATAATCTTGTGTTTAATGTACTTCCTAGAGCATCACAAAACAGCTTGGAAAGGCTGAAAGTGAACGAAGAGTACGCATGTCACTCACTGCTTGCCACCTGTGCTCGCAGAGTACGTAAGCAAACCAGGAGACACCATCTTCTTCCCACGGAGTATTCTCACTAGTAGAGCATCTACCATTCACTGGTTGTCAAAGTTCTTTCATAGCAGATGCATTATGTATCTGTGTCTCAGCAACTTTAAGAATCACATTGCTTTTTATACAAATCAATCCTATCATGCCAGTAGGAGCATGGTGAAGGTGATCCAATCTTTTCCTCTTTCATTTTGGAAGAAAGGGAGGCACCCTTGGCTTTCAGTCTTTCCAAGTTTCTTGTACAAATCATGAGGTGAGTGGAGATGTAAGCTTTTTCTTGTTTCCCATTGTTATTTTACTTTTGTTTTAAGACAAGGTCTTGCTGTGTAGCCCTGGCTGCTCTGGAATATGTGGTGATTATCTGGCCTCTCCCTCTTGAGTGCTGGGATTAGAGAGGGGTGCCACATGCCAGCTTCCAGAGCTCCTTTAGGGATCTTCCTTTTCTGGAGTTCTGAAGTCAACCTTGACTGACTGATGAGGGACTAGAAGTTACCACTTGTATGTTCATTTTGTTTTGGAGACAGGATCTCATTTGTACGTAGCCCTGCCTTGACTGGTATGGGATTTGCCCTACATAGATCAGGCTAGGCATGAATTTACACAGTCCTCCTGCCTCTGAGTTATATGTTCTGGGATTACAGGCATGTGTCCCTTAACCCATCTTTTTTCTCCCCTGCACACAAAGCTCATGTAGCTCAGGCTGTCCTCAAATGTGCTTTGTAGCAGAGAGCAGCCTTCTCTTCCCGTTCTTTATCCCCATGCCCTATGCTGGGATTACATTATGTGTCCCATCACACCTACCTCATCACACTTACGCGTTAGCATCTTTTTTGTCACCTTGTTTCTTATTCTGTCTGAAAAACAGCTGAAGAGTTAGTATTGAGCTGTGTTAGCTGATGGGGGTGGTAGCGAATGTTTCCTTCTTTTCATTAGTCAGCTTCTCCTCTTAAGAAACCACCAGGGCCAGTGAGAGGATCCAGTGGGTAAAGGTGCCTGCCACCCAGCCTGAAGGCCCATGAGATAGAGGGAAAGAACTGGGTTCTGGAAGTGGTTGTCTGACCTCCACATGCTCACTGCTGCAAACTCCTCCACACGAGCTAAAGAAAGAAATACAAACGTAATTAAAAATCTAAGTAAAGTAAAAGAGTGCGTATGTGGGAAGGTGGGGGTGGCGGTGCTTATGAACATGAGATCAAGCAGGCCAGCAGTGGGGTTCCCTTGTGGCACTTCCTAGAACATCTACCTTTGGCCAATGACCTTTCTCATTTTGAGTCTCGAAGCCCTCGGTGTTGAAATTAACCCATACTTATAATCAGGTGTGACATCTGTTGCCTGGGCTAGTTAAAAAAGTGCACTTAAAATTTGTCTCAGGAACCTAAAAGCAAACTTATTTTTAGACATGGCAATCTGGCTAAAATAAGTATAGTTGATCATGTGTCACTTAGCGATGGAGATTCATCTTGGGAAATGAGACTTCTGATGATTTTATCATCACGTGAACATACAGTGTGTGCTTACAAAAATCTATATGGGGAAGTCAATCACTCAGTGTGGCCTTCTGATGCAATCAAGGGATGTAGGACGTGAGAGGTGTACAAAGGTCCTACTGCTGTAGCAGGTATCTGGCTTCCCAGCAAATTTCTGTATCAGGAGAGCATACTCTTAAAAAGGAAGAAGAGAACAGTATAGTATTTGCACAAACTAGTCCCAGAGCTGTTTGTGATCATTGCCAAACATTGTATATTAATATATAGTTGCTTGTGCTATAGTTTTCTATGACTGGCAGTGTAGTGGGTTTATTTACCCTAGTATGACTGCAAAAACATAGGAATAACACATTTTGTTACTAAGATATGTCACTGGGAGATAGATATTGTCTGCCCCATTATAGTCTTTTAGGATCACTGGTCTGTGTGCTGTCTCATTCCATAGCACATTACTGTATTGACTATATTCTGTTCTCTTGCGCTTTGGATTAGAGTAATTTCAAATCAGCTAGTTGACTTTGGAGGAACCCAAATAATTCTAATATATTTAAATTCTCCAACTACCTTATTTATTAATTTTTAATTTTTTTGAGACAGGATATGCAGCCCTGGCTGTCCTGGAACTTGCTAAGCAGACCAGGCTGGTCTCAAACTCACAGATACCTGCCTGCCTCCACTGGGATTAAAGGCATGTGCTTCTATGCCCATCAAATAGCACCATATTTTAAGGAAAAAATTCAGGGTTGGGAAAATATCTCAGTGTATAAAAGTACTTGCTATGCAAGCATGAGGTCCCCTTCCCCCTAAACCCATGTAAAGTCAGGCATGATAGCACACACCTGTAATCCCAATGTTCCTAGCATTCATATCTTTCTCATTAAAAAAAATTACTTCCAAATACAAATAGCAAACCATGTGTTGTGTAAGGCTAAGTTTGACTACAAAATAGCACACGTGAGTCTTTGTGTTTAAAATTTCATAGTCCATCATGAAAAATTCTGAAAAATTCCAAGTGTTTCTGAGTTGGAAAAGTATTTTAAGGCTTCAGATTCATTCTAATACAAGGTGGTATTCATAAAATAGGTGATCTACAGTCACGGTTTGCATAGTTTGCATAGTGTACATAGCCATAGGCTGTGCTGAAGAAGAATGTGCATGGGAGCTGCTTCAGGCATCTATTATGACGGCACCCTCATCTTACCTTGTCATAACCCACTACAAAGATAAGTCAAGCACGCTTTGTAAAGGCAAAGCTATTTTAATACAAGCCCCAAGAAAACGGTTCTTTTTCAGTGTTAGAAATATCAAATTATCTCCCAGGCTATTTTTATCCATGTTGCTTTACAGTAACATGAATACTCCAATGTTTCTAGCATCCTGGATTGAAGAAGTTGACCGCGCTCTTCTCCGCTTGCCAAAAAGATACAGGGATCCAAAGACTCCAGCCATGTGGGTTGTTCTGGACTGAGCAGGAAACAGAAAAGAATTGTAAAGCTACACACAGTTTAGAAAGCAGGATGAGGAGATGTGTGTGCTATCAGGGTGGAAGGTGGGAAAGATTTTAATCAATATTCATCCCATTCTGCCTTCACTGTCTCATCTAGTTTAAGACGCTATTGACAGTCTGTGGGAATATCAATAGCTTGGTGTGGTAGACTGCTTATTTGACATCTACACAAAGCTCTGAGTTGTATCCCCAGTATCACAAAAATTAAAAGGTGGTAACTGATTAGAAGATATACCCCCGCGTCTGTGATGTTAAATCACTTAAAATGATCTCAGAGTGAGGCATATGGCACATTAACATCCTCTGTGTCTCAAGACCTCTGGAAAATACTGCTTTTTATGGAGTAGAAGTTGCATTTGCTGGATCTCTGTTAGCCCCTTGCAGCTTTGCACATCACCAGCTGAGGTCGGAATTTCTAGAACACGGTGGTACCACTAGCAGTAGGATGATCTTGCACTATGTGTTCAGGGCATTTCATCGGGGTCTCATGATGCAGACTCAGAGCATGAAAATGCGATTGTCTCAATTAGGGTTAGAAGATGCTCATGTTGGAAAATGGGATAATCCTGCACAGCATGACCTGTGCTGTGCACTGTTTCCAAAATGTTCCTGTGTTTTTAAGTTCCCATGATGGTGTGTAGCAGCTTACCTCTAAAACTACTGAGTGTACACTATGCAGAGAGTTAGTATGAGTAATCGTACCACAAACTCAATGAAGTTATTCTGGTATTTCCAAGTTCCATTAGCCAGGGAGTGTCTACTTTTTGCTACTTAATTCCTTTGCTTAGTTCATCATTGAAATCTATTCTGTGTTTGGTAGCAGCAGAGATGCTCATTTATAATCATCTGGGATAGAGGATGTGACTGAGGCAGGTGCCCTGCCTCCTGATCTTTGAAGGAGTTTTTGGAGTTTGGGTCTTTGGTGATAGAGCCAGTAGAGGATACCTCTTCCTGCCTCCCCCCAGAGGCTCACAGTGGTCTTGCAGAGTGGGTGCAGGGTCCAGAGAAAGGCTGGAGAGTGAGGGAGATAGGGGATGTCTGGAATCAGAGTGATGAGGGTTGCAGCCTCACCTTCTGGGCCAGAAAGAGTTAAAGGACAGCTCTAGGAAGTCCTTGGCTGATTTCTAACCTGTGAGAGGGAGTCTGACTGATTCCTGCCCTGGCTGTCTATCCTGTGTCTTCCCAGAAGACAACATTCTTAACAAGAGAAAGAGACTGCAAGCATGTTTGCGAGTTCACACCCCAGAGTGGCTGTGGCAGGCAGCTTTTATTAGGTAGCTTTCATGTTAGAATTTCTATTATTATGACATTTCAGTTTGGCATTTCAGAATTTCATCCTTGTCCCTTCATGTGCTAAATTCCTGTGACTCAGATATCCCACAGCAGAACTATGTGAGACACGAGGAAGAAGGAGGGAAAAAAGAAGGACTGGAGATAGAAGCTGGTCGCTTTCCTCAAGGTCTCACTGTCTAGGAAGAGCAAATGGTGTCAGTCCAGACAGGAGCTAGCGCAGCCTCTCTGCCCAGCTCTATTTGATATAGGAAGCAGGCCGCTCTGAGGCAGAGACTCTAGGGCACCAGGCAAGCATTCTCAGTCCTAGGAGACACTTGTGTGCTAGCGGGCTTTTGCATCTCAGTGCTGCCTTCAGACTGAGTGCAGAGCTCTCCCTACCCTCTTCCCTTAGAGCTCTACTGGGGAAGACTAGCCATCTGCTGTGTGGAAAAGGCCAAAGAGGTTTCTGTGGATCGAATTTGTGATTCCTTTCTCTTTCACATCTGCAGAGTGATGAAAAAAGAAAGCCATTCTGATGTGTTTTTTCTATTTTTAATTTAAATTAGAAACAAGATTATTTTACATGTCTATCCCAGTTCTCCATCCCTCCCCTCCTCCCCTGCCCCCCACTAATTCCCTATCCCATTCCCTTCCTGCTCCCCAGGGATGGTGAGACCTTCCATGGGGGGAATCTTCAAAGTCTGTCATATCCTTTGGAGCAGGGCCTAGGCCCTCCCCTGTGTGTCTATATACGGACGATAAATGGGCTGAGAAAGAAATCAGAGAAACATCACCCTTTACAATAGCCACAAACAACATAAAATATCTTGGGGTAATGCTAACCAAATAAGTGAAAGACTGTTTAGCAAGAACTTTGAGTCTTTAAAGAAAGAAATTAAGGAAGATACTAGAAAATGGAAAGATCTCCTATGCTCTTGGATAGGTAGGATCAACATAATGAAAATGGCAATCTTGCCAAAAGCAATCTACAGATTCAGTGCAATCCCCATCAAAATACGGGCACAATTCTTCACAGACCTTAAAAGAACAATAACCAACTTTATATGGAAAAACAAAAGACACAGAATAGACAAAATAACCCTGTACAATAAAGGAACTTCTGGAGGCATCACCATTCCTGACTTCAAGTTCTATTATAGAGCTCTAGTCTTGAAAACAGCTTGGTATTGTCACAAAAATAGACAGGTAGGGCAATGGAATCAAATTAAAAACCCTGATACTAATCCACACACCTATGAACACCTGATTTTTGACAAAGAAACTAAATTATAACAATGGAAAAAAGAAAGCATCTTCAACAAATGGTGCTGGTGTAACTGGGTGCTGGCATGTAGAAGACTGCAGATAGATCCATGACTACTGCCATGCACAAAACTTAAGTCCAAATGATTCTGATGTTTTAAATGTAGGTTGAATCTCCAGCTAAGTACCTCACTTTGATCCATTGTCATCCTCTTTATCCCTCCCACCATTATTAGAACTTCAAATGGCATTCAAAGCTCTGAGATTTCCTGAACTCTTCTGTCTGGGGATGACTTTTTTTTTTTTTTTTTTTTTTGAGACAGATGAGACTTAAAGGCATACTTTCCTCATTAGGATGGCTTGAGTGTTAGTGCTCATTCCCTGTTACTCAGCATTTCTGGAAATCCAGTCAATATGAAATGGACATGTAATGTCACAGTTGGCTCAGGTATGAGTTTGCATCTGCCCAGAGTGTTGGGCCAGACACACCATACCATCATGAGGTGTCTCGCTGTAGGACATTCAAATCAAGATGTGCAATTAAAATCTAGAAGTCCCAGCGCTACAGCAGGCCATGCTCCCTTACTGCTCTCTAACCCCAGGGACAAGCAACACTGTGGCGAGAGGGAGGACAAGCAGGACCATCGTGAATGTGAGCGCTCAGACAGCTTTAGCTCTGATTCGTTTCTGGTTGAAACGCACTAGAAGTGTTAGGTTTGGTTTCCCCCGCTCGAAAATAGCACTGTCAAGTTTTTCATTTGGTGAATTTTCACACAAGTGATAATCACACGTTTCTATAAATTATATTAATTTAACTGATTTCCCTAAACGTTGTTCTGCAGTGTGTAGCACGGATGTTCTCAGATTCTTGGCTGGGTAAGCTTGCTGCAGTTGGAAGAGGAACAGAGACATATGAAAAGCATTATCTGGATGGAGGGTGCTGGGGCATCTGATGTCACCTTGTGCTCTGGCTCAGCAGCCCCAGCCGTCCAGCCATCGCTCGGCATTTAATCTGCACGTCCTGCTTCCTCCATCTTTGGCAGCACTCTAGGCTTGGCTTTTGTTTTAGAAAGCATTCTTGTTCTGTCTACTTAGGGATAGTGAGCTCAGGTCATCCTGTTGGTTATTTAATAATTCAGTCTACAGAGGAGTCATCGCTTATAAGCTTAAAAGACAAAGAAAACCAGCATGGGCTATAATGTGTCCCTTCTTGTCTTACAGAAACGAGGCATATTCATGTCTATGGAAACTAACTAATTTTCTCCTTCTTTTCAGAGTATGATTTCATCCATTGTAAATAGCACATACTATGCCAATGTGTCAGCAACCAAGTGCCAGGAGTTTGGGAGATGGTATAAAAAGTATAAGAAGATTAAAGGTAATCTCTGTTTTTTGTTTTTAAAAGCTGTTCTTTGACATAGATGTTAATTGTAGGTATTGTTTATAATATATGTATATATATACACACAGACACACACACACCTATATATATGTATAAATATTTAAAGGTAAGATTCTTAACATTTCTGTCATAAAATTCAACCCTTAAAAGTAAGTTAGGAGTAGGACCACAAGAAAAATCCTTAGCGTAATTTACCAACTTTGTGGTTTTCACCAGTGATGCCTGTGAAGGCCCAAATCCATTAGGATGGAACTTTAGAAGTTTTATTCCAAGTTGAGTCCTGATTAACGAGTAGAACGGCTGCCAAAACATCAGGGAAGCTTTGGTTAGAAACAGGGTTTCAATGTTTATTTAGAGACAGATGCTGAGCAGCATAAGGCAAGGTTTCTATGGTCTGACATATCTGAACTCAGATCTGGGTCTTTAACTTGCTAAGTGTGTGAACTTGGTCAAATTATTTAGTCTCAACAAGATTCAATATCTTCATCTAAAGATCAGAAATGAAAGTATCCAGATCCTTTACTAACTGTGAAGAGTAAATAAGGTAATATTGATACAAAATGAATTCTGAATAACTAATAGCTATGATACAACAATAATAATAATTGGTAGTAGTGACAGGATTAGAAGTAATATATAAGAAATTATATGTAGTCTTGAAAACACAGCTCTTTTACATAAGAAATATCAAGCTATTTAAACCATCCAGCTTTTTAAATATATTGGTGTTATTTTACTTTTGCAAACATTAATGTAGAAATCCTTTTATTCTTTCTGATGAAGGTAAATGTGACTAGTCTTTGAGATTTGGGGTAATTGTGACACTGATGTTTGAGGCCATTGCAGTCTATAGTTTGCATAATTGTGATACTGTCCGTCCAGGCTTTATAGTAGGTGTTCACAGTCTTGCTGTCAGCTCACTGCTCCCATTCCGGGGGCCACATGATGATCTGCTGGGTGGGTAGACATGAAGGATGAATTGAGTTTTATTATTTGCAGGCTTCCTCAGGGCAGCCAGGGTATGAATCAAAGCAATACTTCTGGCTGTTGCGTGTCGGAGAGCTTGTTTACAAGATTGCCCTTGAGCAAATGAGCTTTTGGGTGCCCCAGCCACACAATTCATATCGGGGGATAAAGGGAGAGCATTTCATGTTAAATACATGATTTAAAAGGAAAGCAAAAAATGTTGAGCTATTCAGAGGTTAAGTGGACTGCAAACTGAATTAAGATCAATTTCTTTTCAATGTATTCTCAAATTCTTTGAGCCCTTTAGATTCTGGTTTGGGTATTTACCTTTAAATATTAATACTCACTTCTGTGTAGGAGAAGCTGAATAACTCCTCATTCTGAGGCGTCATTGTGTGGTTTAGAAGGGTTTCTTTCCTGCAAGTGTCACCTCCAAGTTTTTCTTTAAAAAATTGGATTGTTGCAGTGCTTGAACATATCATCTTTGACGAAAAATCAAAAGAATCACTTAGCTTCAAGGTTGTTTGTTAGATCACATTTACCTGCTATTATAAGTAAAAGGGAGAGAGTGTGTTCTTTTGTATGCTAGACTATAATTCCAGCTTCTAAAGCCTGGGTCAATCTAGTGATTTCACAGCCACCACAGTAGTGTGTGTGTGTGTGTGTGTGTGTGTGTGAACACTCACGTTTTCTGTTCTCTCAGAAATTCAATTATTTAAGCTGTTTTCTTCAAGATAGTAAATGCACAGTTAAATCTTTAAGTGCCATAAAAGCAGCCTGAGGCCTTGATTTCATTCAGAAGGTCAAGGACCCACACCTGAGGAGACTGTGAGACACTGTGTACACATTTTGTTGCAAACGCTAGTCATTGCTATTGGAAAGTGTGTGTGGATCTGTGTGTGTGTCAGTAGGAGGAGAAAAGGGAAGGTTAAGGTATGTGTGAAGTAAATACAAGCTGCCATAAAACAGTTCAAGCGGTGTTGATTCATCAGCCCAGAGAGTGGGAGGAAAAACAAAGAACACATGACAGGTATAATGGTGCCCAGAAAACAAATACCACAGAAGTGCATTTTAACTTTCTACCCCCAGGAAGCGGGAAGTGTTGGGCCTAGCTCTTTGTGTCTGATAGAGGCTTCTTGCTAAGGGTGAATATGGCAGGGAGTTCCTATCTTAACATGATCCATTTCTCATGGAAGAGACATTTTTGGTTTTGAAGATTTGCTTGTGGTCATCCCTTTTCAAAATGAACAGAAGCAACAATGTTCAAATCTGGACCTCAGCAGTAGCCGGGGCAGACTTTTACCTGAGGCTTCCTCCCGAGACAGCAGTTTGAGTGGCTTGTTCGTCCCTACCCTCCACTTCCCTCTACTTCCCGTCTTCCTGGTCTCACCAAGTTACCAGTGTGCGTCTACCACCACAGCTTATGCTAGCTACAGAAGGAAATCTGCAGTTAGCTTGCTGATGTCCTAAACAAAATGCAGCCTACATCGTTAAATATGTTTCCTATTATCTGCTAATGTCTGTTTTAATAAAACAGTGGGAACTAAATGGTTGCTTCTTAATCAAAACCATGATTTCCTAAACATAAGCTATGTGATTCTGTTACAAATTGCCACATCTAGATCTCCTAGGTCAATTCTTTTTTTCCCCTATTCTCATAGAAATAAATAAACAGTAAAATAATTATATACTCTGAAGATCAAAGTAAAATAGGACTCAAACCTGGCAAAAATAAAAGTCTACTGGAAGGATTGAAAAAAAAGATCGGATTGCAAATTCTATAGTTTATGCTTAAATAAATATGAGAAAAATGAACAATCAATAATTTGATATCATTAAAAACAGATGTAAAAGCTATATACAAATGGAATTGTCTAAAATTTGAAGTAAACATTTTAATGTGCGTTTTTTAAATTTGTTGTTGTTCTATCTAAACTATTTACACTTACTCTTTAAAAAGTCCTAAATTGGTTTGGCTTAGTCTGTTGACTTTATTTTCTCCAGTGATCACAATAGACCTTGCTCTGTTTACCTTTTTCTTTTAATTTCAAAGACAATCAAGGATGGCAGAGACGTGTTTGAGTTAACATTACCATTACTTGAGGAGAGATGGAGAAACAGTTTGTATACTCTGGTTTCAAGGTCCTGCCATGAACCTTGTCCCAGGATTTTCTGCTCACAAGAAACATGGGGTGGTGGGTGCCATGTTAGTCAGTCTGCACCTCTTTTTAAAACTTGCCGTTCTGCTCACTCTGTCAGTTGCTTCTGGGCTAGATTTTCAAGAGCACTCAATTCCTCTGTGTAAGGAACACATTGCACTTTTATCCAAAAGGAAAGAAAACAGCCATTCAATGTTTAGGTGTTTATTAGCAAAGGACAGAGATAACCCATAGCCACCTAGACACATTCATGCTGCTGTGTAATCATTTTCAAGGTTTGAGGGTTTATTCCATGAATATTACTCCCATAGTTGTTTTATAAAATGATTAGCCTTTATTCCAACTGCTATTTTTGTTAGAACTCCAGATATGATCTTATCCCATAATTTTTGCGAAACCAAGTGCAATTGGTTTGCAGTCCTACCCTCAATTCCATTTTCTGATATTTTCGGTTGTTAGTCTAGCCTTGAAGGGCTGGGCCACCTCTCCAGACCCCTGATTCTATTCTCATGCATTCACAGGATTCATAGGAACAATGAGGAAGTGAATTGACAAAAGCATTCACATCAGTTTTGATCCATAATGAACAAATTCAAATAACTATATCTGAACTATTTTTACTAAAATAAAAATGAATCAACTTTACTGGGACTCATCTCAATATTTAATACATCTCAAGAATTGAAGGGTCATTCAAAGTTCATATAAATACTCAAGGCTATTATAAAATTATTTGTGTCATAGAATAATACCACCAGAATGAATGGACCTAGCCAAACCCTGTATTTTGGTTATGGCTGAAAATCATCCCCATCACTTTCCTCTTCTTAATCATTGCTCAAAACACTCTGATTGCTAGTTTGCTTAATTTTATTTGTTTATTTGAGCCTATTTTGAAAAATATTGCAAAGCTGGGAGAAAAGAGGATTTTTAAAACCAGTGTTAACTTCCTTGAGTCTGGTTTATTCTAGTAATCAGTATTTTATCTGATCCTGTCTAATCTACTCTTGCAAGATCAAACGTCCAGGCCAGCAAGCAGATAGTAAACAAAGCTCATGAAGGGTTTCAGTAAACACAAAGATTAGATGTTGAATGAAAATTAAACTCCTTGAACTAGTCCTCTGTACTAAAGTGGTTAAGTGGGTTGTGATTAAAAGAAATAAGTAATTATGATCATTATAGCTGAAATGATATAATGTTACCACATTTAAAGCACCTCTTGTACCCCAAAATGATTGTGTCATTTACAAAGTGGTGCCTCAGAGCAGAATGGAGAATCAGTGTCTCCCGACCTGCTTCTTTAAGACAGCCCTTGCTTCGCCACGGTGGTGTTGGTGGCCAGGACAATGCCTTTAATCAGCTCTCCCTACTCCTGCCTCTGCTGCTGCTTAGCTCTGATGAGGTGAAAGGAACTTACTTTTGTCTACCTGATTCTTCTGAGTTAGGAAAGGAATTTGCTTTCACCTCTGGGTCTAAGTGAAGGTGGCTTACAAGGAAGCCAATATTATGCCTCTTTGAAAGTAATGCTAACATCAAGGCCTTTGAATTTTATATAAATATTAGATTCTTGAGAATAAAAACAGCGCTTCTGCAACCAACCATTTCCAATGTGTTGGTTTGGGGGCTTTTAGAAGAAGAACCTGTGCATTCTCATTTTGCCCATCCCTTGTGTGTATTTCTTAGTCACCTGGGCAGTTCAATCGGAAGTGTATTGGTGGTATCAGCAAGCACAAAAGTCATAGGCGAGCAGTGCTTGGAGTGCTTGGCCCGCATGAGTTCATTCCTTCCTTGGATCTCTTGAGGCACATTTTGGCTGTGCTGGTAGCTGCTTATCCTTGGCTTGGATGTATT